CCGGCAGCCCGGAGCACGGGCGGGAAGCGGCAGCAGGGAAGCGGGCCTCACCGCCCTGGCTGACGCGGGCCCACGCGGTCAGAGAGGACAGAGAGGACAGCCTCCCCGGGGAGCCCGCGGCGCCCGCCTGCGCCGACCTGAAGCCCCGCACGAAGCCGCAGGACCTCCCGAGCCCCAGCAGCACTTCCGACCCAGACACGCCTCTCGGGGCCCCCAGCTCGCCGGGCAGGGTCTCCCTCCGGATATCTGAATCTGCGCTGCTGGGCTCCCCGCTGCCTCCGGAGGACTATGACAACGACGAGGTGTTCGTGAGGGACCTGCGCCCCACCTGCCAACCAGCGCCTCTCCCACCCCCGCCTCCTCCGCCCAGACCCAGCGAGGAAGTCCCGGCCGACAGCCTGGGCGACTTCCCTCCGCCGCCTCCCCAAGCTATGTTCCAGGCCCAGTGGGACAGCGAGGGCTACTGTGAGCCCCACGCCAGGTGAGACTGCAGACTACGCCCCCGAGGGGAAGGGTGTCCCTCACCAGTAACAGATTTCCACGCCTCAGGCGTCCCGGAGCTGCTTCTGCTGGCCACAGGAGAGTCCTGTGGGGGATTTTTAGAGGAGCCCAGCTCCTGAAACGTGCAGAACGGTTCACTTGTTGACCTTGGTGCTCATTGGGCAGCCAAGGGTGAGAGTAGTGAAAAGCCAGAACCCAAGAGGTACGAAGGTCATTCTGGATGTGGCAGGTTCAAGGGGTCCAAATAAACAGCATTCCTTTTCCCTGCCTGAGTTCTGAATCAGTTAAGATATAAAATAAAAGAGAAGACAAGAATATCACTTTCATTATCCAGAGAGCTGGTAGTGGAGAATATGGCTTCTGAGTGTAAGTGGGCCTTCTGATACTGAGCCCTGAAATGATGAAGCAAGGTTACCTGCCTCATCACAGGCTGTGCTAGACACACATACATGCAGAGCGGGGACACGTCTGGGCATGCATGAGGGAGCCTGGAGGCAGCCTCACTTTTTAAAGAAAGAGAAGAGGTTGGACCAGGCATGGGCTGTGGTCAGCTTCTCTTTGCCAAGTCACTCCATGCCCATAGGAAGGAATAAAGAGTAGGGCTAGCAGTCAGTCGTGTGTAGAGAAGACCTCTTGGACAGGGGAATGGGGAGGGAGCATTTCCCCACACACACTCCCCAGGACAGCACTAAAAACACATTGCCTGGTAGCACCTTTGTGGTAACTTCCTCTAAACACCACCACTACCCTCTGTTCACTTTCAGAAAGCTCTAGATTCTGAGAGCAACACCCACCAAAACTGAATTCCTACTAGATCCATCCGCCTTAAAAAGTCACGCAAGCTCCCTGTGACCAACCGGTGGACTTGGTTGAAGGTCCTTTTGAACCCTGCAGTTTCTCGGGAATAACAACCCCAGAAGTTCGTAGGAAGCTGTAGCCCTTGTGTGCAGATGTCTCCCTGGCTTCCTTCACCCCTCTGCTGACTCCTCTTCCATCTCTTTTTTAATATCTAGCAGCTCCAGCAAACTTGCCAAGGTGACAGTTGCCAAGGAAAGGCCCATGCCTGGTACAGCCCATTTGGTTGATAGTCAGATACTGGCTTTGGCTTCCAGATCCCAAACTTCTATCAAGAGTTCAGAGGCCAATGAGCCCAACTCGCCCTCTGCCACCGGTGCTCTGCCTCAGCCTGCTGGGTCTCTCAGCAAGCAGCCAAGCCCAGGGCAGCCACCTCCCATCCAGACGCAACGCCTCGTCCACGACCCAGTCAGTGGCACTCAGGGTTTAGAAAAGAATGTCAGTTCTGGTCCTCAGAAGACCTCAGAAGACATCAGAACAGAGGCTCTGGCCAAGGAAATTGTCCACCAAGACAAATCTCTGGCAGACATTTTAGATCCAGACTCCAGAATGAAGACAACTATGGACCTGATGGAAGGTTTGTTTCCCCGAGATACTAACTTGATGCAGGAAAACAGCATAAAGAAGAAGGCCATGCAGAAAATTGTCAGCTTCCCAGGATGTGAAGCCAAGAGGTAAGTCCCTGGTAATGTCACCAAAGAGACTTAAAACTGAACTCCTTCTGTGGGGGTGATAAGTCTAGGACTGCTTATCTGAGATCTTTCTCCTTCCAAAGATCCTGACCCCAGAGTGGCAGTCCAGCTCAGCCTTAGAGGAGTGGGTCTGATCTCCCTAGAGTTATTTGCCCAACAATAATAGTAATAGTAATAATAATTATAATAATTGCTGTTGATACCTGTTGCTTATGTTCTCTGTGTCAAGCATTGTATTAATTTCTTTATATAAACATTCTCATTTAATCTTCACAAGAACCTTCTGAGATAGCAACCCATTTTATCTCCATTTTATAAATGAGGAAACTGAAACACGGAGAAATTAAGACTGTACCCAACCAAAGTCACAGAACCTGTGAGCAAAGGCATCTGTGTGCTCTCCGTGCTTACACAGTGCCCCTAACCCAGCACAGGTGCAGCTGCCCGCTCTCTGCCAGGGCTGCCCTGCAGAGAGTCCCACCCGGGGCAGTGCTGAGGGATGACCAGGTGGGAGTCAGCACAGCCGAGGCCTCCCCAAGGCCGAGGTGTGAGGGCGGTCTTGTAGAAAGGGTGAGAGCCTAGAGACAGGTTGATGTACTCCACTGACATTCACTCCGA